ACAAAACAAACAAGCTTCTTCTCAGCACAGTTTAAAATATCTGAAATGATTTGAACGACTGAGGTAGAAACCAAGAGGATGATCCTTATTGTTAACTAGTCGTGACGCTGCAGAATGCCGGCTTATGACGTGTTTGAGAGCTGAATTGCCAGCTGGAGTTTAGATGGACACCAGAGGTCAAAAGGCCGTCAGCAGTCAACAGTTTGCTGAAAAAATGAGCGCCTTCAACTTGAAGGTGTTATGATGAAATGCGTAAGGCGGCAAGCAATAATTGAATAAATTCGGATTCAGGAAAAAAGTTAAACGCGTTACTGAAATTATGCTTACAAACGGCAGACTATGCGCTCTCGAAGAGTTATTCAAGAAAGGTCTGAGCATGTTCTTCGCATATCACATTCATCCTAAACATACCGTTGGTGTGTACCCAGATTGAGAAATCGCAGCAACAACGATTGGAGTACTTTCGTTGAATGCTTTCAAGAAAGAAAGCCAAAAAGCACTGCTTGCTCGATCGACTAGTTTAAAGCCAAGGTGAAACCAAACAGAGCCTCGAAGCTATTCATTTACGGCCATGCTCCAGTCTTGAATTATCTGATACCGAACTGAACACTTCAGCATAGGATGGTGAACTTTAGAACACTGTCGCGAGGGGTCAAACCGTTATCGAAACTGAAAGACTGCCTGATATTTTGCAATTAAGCTGTGGATTCCTACTGTTGATTCCGGAAGGCAGGCGATGATTGATGTCTTCAAGACTATTTGTGTATGTCTTTGGTTATAGCACAAATTTCTGTTACAGAGTGACTTTTGAGAAATATTTGTAGATAGGATAGATATATACATATAAAAGAAAGTTTATTAATAGAAACGTAGCAAATGCTGAATGGACAACATCCAAAAGTTGCTATATTCTCGACCTCCGAATCAGAGGCTACAGTAAACAAAAATGCAAACACTGTAAGTGCATAATATTTTATCAATTCCAGAATTTTTAAAACATAATATTAGAATTTAAACGCTTTAAGGCATGCGTATATCAATGCTAAAGATATATAAAAACGGATGTTTCAACGAATTTATGAAATTTGTGCAGCTTATTACGTAAGCATTCGTTCAGGCGAAGAAAACCTACATTTGAAACGTTTCAGCACGCAACAGTAACAACATGAGAGGGAAATTTTCTGAATATTCATCTACAAAAGGAAAGATAAGATCGTTGCAATTGGCGAATGAATGGCGATGTTGGCCAAAGACAAACTAGAAGTGACTTGCAGAGTACGATTTGGGACCTGTTGGTCACAGAGATGCTCGTGGTGTTGTCCGTTATTGATGCCTTTCTGTTCGAAAGGCTAATCGGTTTTGAGCAGACTGGTTACAGTTCTTCGTTTTGCATCAAACTATAAAAATAGATAAACGCATGAACAATCAGATTCATATAAAATGCAAGTTACAGGTTTATGCATTTCAGCTAAAACTAAAAACTGGACGCGAAACGCAACACCAACCGACTGTGCCTATATTAGAAACATGACATCAGTGCTCTGCTCTCAGTTCTTATCTGACTGGCCAGAGAGGAAGCTAAGCATATGGCTTAACAGAAGCATCTATACTGTTGCAAATGATAGTGTGATTCTACCATTCCCCGGGATACTGTATGCCATGGAAGTTGGTAAGCAAAAAAAAATTCGATAAAGCAGAGTACGCGTTTACATTAGACAACTGATATGACGTCTGTTTGAAACTCCAGCTCAGATAAGCCCACACAAGAGCAAGTTAAGAGGAGGGTTTAAAATCCACATAAAACTTAAAAAAGGCAGAAGACTGTCTGATTTGTCCAAGGCACCATTTGGCCATTGTCAACTGAAACATGTAACTATAAAGGCTAGGCTAAACTAGGAGTAGATATGATAAAGGTTAGTATGATAAAGTACACCATATTATAACTCGTCGTCTGACCAACCCTCCCCTCCTTTTAAATATGATGCACTAACACAGAAGTACCTCAAGAGAATTTACTTGATGATAAGAGTGGTGGAGTAATTTACAAAACGGAAAAAGGAAAATAGGAAGGTCTGCCACAAATGGCAGCAATAAACGACGATTGCCCTCACAGGATATTCAAGCGAGCTGTCGGAACATAATTAATGTTCCAGAGGGTGAACAAAGGCTGAAGATAATACCGTTTGGCACAAAAGTGTATGACAATGTCACTCGTCACTCATACCTCAAGTATTTTGTCCCGTTTCTGCCATCCCTGTTTCCTACGGAGGGTGCGCGACTTGAGCTATATAAAACTGTA